TGATTATGTTTAGCTGGGGTTTTGCAGCGGTAAGTAGAATGGTTAATTGATGGATTATAATGTCGTTTTATAGAGAAATGATTGTTTCATTTCAGTTTTCGAGCTCGAAGGAGTGAGCAGACTTGGGACCCCAGGATCAGGTTGTATTTTAGCTTGCGATCAGTTAGTTGTAGGGGTTGGCGACATTATTTCAGCACTGGTGAGCACATGTGGGTCTATGTGGCATAAGTATCTTGTGAGGCGTACATGATTACCGTCCCTACCTATATGAGCTAAGACCCAATTAGCCTTGGATCTTTTGAATCGAGCGGTAAGGATCGATTTTGCAATCTATTGCACTTTTGGGACTGGAGACTATGTCTTAGGAGTAGCTTGTAGCCTAGTATAGGGCAAATGTTTCTTTAGCTACTGCAGTTCAGCGGTGGATGATCGAGCTGGTGAGTGAGTTAGGGTGCAAGACCCTGAATGATATGATTTTTAGAGCCGAGAAGCGGGATATTTGTTGGAGCACTTTGAGAAGAAGGGTATTATGTGGGAGGTCTGCGGACAGGGTCCTATAGGATGGTTATTCAACATTGTCAGGATTCAATAGTTCAGTAACCGTTATTGATAAGAAGAGGAAAGCGCCAAGGGAAGTAGCTCGTTGCTAAGATGTTAGTTGGAGCATCTATATTTTGGACTTCAAGATTTGAGTGCGGGATCATTCAAGTATTAGGGACTGTCGGTTTCACTAGGATTCAGGAAGTGTTCAGCTAGTTCTTAGAAGTGTGTGATCAATGGGAATTGGCTAGTGATGGAGCACTGGTTGATAAACGCTAGTGGTCACGGGGTCAATCGTTGTAAGGCAAGAAGGATTGGGGGCCTTTCAATTCTCCTGTGCCTTGAGAACTTAGTTGATTCTAAGTGGGGGAGAACCATCTAGGGTATTACAAGTGGAGCAATCTTGAAACTGGGATAAGTTTTGCATCGTGGTCAGGAAGGAAGATAACCCAACTGGTTGTATAATTTGACGGTTGCATGAGTCAGGAGTTCGGTAAAACTCCCCAGCATGTGTATTGCATCTTCTCGGTGATTGATAGCAGAATTTGGCAAACTAGGTTGAGTATGTAGTCATGTATTGAGTTTAGTTCGGGTGTTTGGTCGAGTGTGTGCTCGACTCTACGGGTTTATAGATTAAGGGTAAGGTATTGTATTGCGGTTGTGTTAGGGCGAAAGTGTTGTAAGACTGAGGAGGTAACCGTATCAATCATGAATTCTTTCAGATGATTAGCCAGGGTGCAACATACTATTTTAAACAATTCAGTGTTTTAGGAAATTCAGTGCTTCTGACAGTTTCAGTATCTCAAGCAATAATGGTATTTTGGGATTTCATTTATGATTAGAGTCTAAAATAGCATGGGTTATGTTAAGTCACTCATAGAGGGATTATTTGAGCCTTACCCAGTATAAGTGATCTGCAGGGATAACTGGGTCAGTGATTCTATTTTCTAGTGGGAACCTCAAGACTGCAGAGTTCATACGGAGTAGAGGTGATCTTGTTGCAAGGAACTCGCTCATATATGGATTTTAGGGCCTTGTGAAGGTTGGTCACGGTTAGCCTGGGGAAGGCTAGGGTGTGCTCAAGATTGCAGCCATGTTACTTGAGTGGTTTGACATGTAAGTAATGGTAGGGAATGATTTTGAGGAAGAAATCTAATTTAAGTGGGGGAGAGTTGTAACCTATGAATTTTAATGGATCTTTAAAAGAAATGACTTTTGGTAATCCATAATTTGAGGACAAATTATGGACTCCATTAAAAACATTTAGATCAATAATTAACTAACAAACAATTTTGTAAATAATTCCTATGATATACCAAAACTCATAAGTGTATGAACAATCATATCAACAATTTCAAGAATTACATAAACACACATAAACTTGAAATTTTGATAATAACCTTGAAATTGGTTTACCATAATCATTACCACATCAAAAAATAGGTTTTATAAGTCCAAAACAGTTTAAGGTAATGATTCTAGACCAATTCCATCCTTAAAACTCGAAGATATGCTGTCAGGGGGTCCAACTCGTTTAGTGCATGAACCAACTTGATGAGTTGGATGAATTTAGGCATGGAATCGTTGAGTCCCTTACTGGACTCGGCAAGCCAGCTGTCCAAACAACATACAAACTTCGATTTTCAACAATTATCATCAAGTATAAATGAAAACAAGCCTAGGCTCTGATACCATTCAAAGGGTTTTGAGCATTTTAACACTCCTAAGGTGTACATGCAACCCTATAAACTTTGGATCTATGTTTTCTCTATTATACATGCAAATATTTAATATTCCAAGGTTTCATCCTAACTAGCATAATTTGAAGTATATACAATACAAGAATCTAGTAGAATGACATACCTTATTTGATGGAGCTTGAAGTCCTGAACCTTTAAGAGCTTAGTGCCCCAAGTGTTGTACCTCAAATGGAATCACACAACACCAAAAACACTTGGAATAACTAGAGAATAAGGATACTTAGGTTCCCTCTTATGAAATCGGTCTTGCCTTTTGTTTATGCACTAGTCCAATTTCGTGAACCAAGGACCTCTTTATATAGTGTGGATGATTAGGGTTACATTCATGTAAACCCTAATACCCATGACCTTTCATTTCCTTAGGATCCATGGGTAAAACACTCCACGAACTATCCATGAAAGCTTAGCCCAACCTAAATGAACTTGGCCCATCCTATATATAAGAGTGCATATTTAATTAGTTCATTTTGATCACTAAATTAATTCTAAATTAATTCTTGACCAATACTAATTAAATAATATGATTTAATATTAATATATTAGAACTTATAATATATTAATATAAATCACAAGTATCGTTTTTCTCATTTTGTCTATCCAATTGTTTAATGCCATGCAACCCAAATGGACCATGCTACTTTCGGGTCGAGTACATACCAATAATAGTTATGGGCTTAGACATCTAATCCAACACTAACATTGTGAGATCGCCATGAAAGTGAAACCCGAAATGTCGAACCATTTTAAGAAATTGACGGGGAACTTTGTTCCAGATTTAACGAAACATTTCTTTCTGTACCAACCTTCGATACTCCATATCATATTCTATCATTTTGAGTGGTCTTGATCAAATGTTTGAATCCCGCGACGTTTGTACCCAATAGGATCTAGTTAGTACTTTGTTCTCTTGAATATGATTTCCGTGTGAGTATTATTTGTTCTCTTAGTTAATTACAAAAGTTTTTCCAAAGCCTACTTGTCACTGACTACATTGGTCAAACAAGTAATTTCATTTACAAATTGTCACTCATATGTTTTGTAGGGCATTGTAACGAAATGATAAGCCACCTTTGAAGCCATGTAAAAAGAATCCATTCGAAACTTCTCTACAAGTATTCAGTTGTAATTCACGGGAAACAACACAAGTAGTTGATCATCTCTCTTGATGATTAATGATGTAATCTTTGCCCGAGATTTATCTACTTTTATGTCGAAATTTAATTTTTCGACATCATAGATCCACATTTTTCTTAATTTGCTTATTATCTTTTTCCTTGACTCACTGTACTCACAAAATCCTTGAGGTTCTGAGTATTACCAACTCAGGCTGATGATTTCTAAAGTCTGGCATATGACTTCACTTTTCAACCCAAAAGTGAAAGAGTCTAACCTCCATTCTGAAGGTTTCTGAAGGTTCTCATTCCATTGGGGCATGTTACCAGGCTGTATGGTGTGACATTTTGTATTTTGTCCGAATTTCAAGGAGACGTGATGATCACTTTTTCACGCATGGCTATATTATTGGCGTATGGGTGCGATTTTCTAGGTTCCACGTCAGCTATCATTAATGTTGATCCCACTTCAAATTCAAATCCAATTGTCACCTATAAAAAGGGTTTCAGGGGTACATTTCACGGTTACGCTTTCTGAATATTTCTAAATTACAAAAGAACTCTTTATCTTCTTCATCGTTCTCAAACCCTAATCATGGCTACTCCTACTAATGTTACTGATCCATCTCAAACTACTGAAGATATCACCTTGCAACCCTTGATGAAGATTCAGAGGACAAATCTACAAGTTCAGAGTGATGTTTCGGTGTACCCTTAAGAATTGAAGGTTTTGATTGTTGCTCTTCAACAATCTATTCTATTTAAGATGATGTTTGCTTCTTTTGTTGTACCCAATTCCTGGTTATCACTTGCTGGATCAACAACCACTTACAACAAAACCTTGGGTTCTATTACATTTTCTATGATGAATGACAAAAAGTTTTGCTTAACCAAGAAGAACTTTGCTTATATTTTGGTAATTACAAATACTGCTCCGTTTTACAAGGTCTCTAATGAATAGATTATTCATATGTTCAACGAGATGGGGTATCAGCCACAGCTTACCAAAATAAGTGAATTCAAGAAGTCAGGGTTAACGTGTTTATGGAATTTTTTCTTCAGAATTTATCTTTGTTGTCTTACTGGTCGTACTGTAGGGTTAGATAAAGGCAGGTTGGAGGTATACGCGATGGTTGCAGGACTCTACTATGATCTACAATTTGATTATGCAACTTAGTTATGAAACGAATTTGTGAAGAGTGTTGCGAACACGAATGCAGTGGATGGAATTTCGTGTGCAAGTTACTGGATTCTCATTCTATAGTTTGCCTATGAGAAGGAAGGGATTAATGTTCCACAAGATGAAGATACTGCATCATTTCCAATCTTTCACTTTCCCAAATTTGTTGAGGATGATGTGAATATTTTTCCCTCAGTTACTCGCATTCCAGATGTGATGCTTCGAAAGATTGATCCGGCTCATCCAGTGTTGATAAATTACTTGAAAACCATAAATCATGTGGTCAAAACTGGGGTGTTGTTGTCTTCGTTAAAAGCTAAATCACAGAAAGGGTCAAAGAAGCATGATGAGAGTTCTTCTCCAACAGTTGTTAAAAAGTTGAATAAGTAAGATGACAGTTCTCCACCTATGATTATAGCAAAGAAGCCTGAGGAAACTGTTCTACCATCTCAAACAGGTGTGTTTAAGAAGTTGAAAAAGAAGGCTCGTCCATCATGTCCTGCTTATACGGTGAAACCTCATGTTACTAGAAAATGGGTTATTTTTCGTGAAGTTCAAGAACCCGTTTCTCCTGGATCAAAGAGATGTCAGACAGAGGATATGGCTATTCATATTTCGAAGAAGCAAAGGAAGAAACTTCAAAATCTTGTCATCAATGATGAGTCTACCGAAGAAGAGGTAAATCCAGAACCCCCATTTCCACTCCTCTTAAATGTTGAATTTTTTTTCCTGGTTATCACGATTATTGAGTCTTTGCAAGTTTCTGCCACAACACCTATTGTTCTTAGTCCACCAAAGGTGTCATCTATTGAAACTTCTCATGTTCAAGGTACATCTATTGTTCTATCTGCTACCTTTGAAACTTCCACCATCGACACTTCTACCACATTACCTCAATTTGTTTCCACTCCTATCGATACCCACTCACCCACTTTTGATAACATTCTTGATCAACCCATTACTTCCTTATTTTCTTCACAATCTACCGAACCACCTGTCACTACTGAAGAAATTCAAACCCGAACTGATGATGATTAGGATGTCTTTGATGGCACCTTTGCTGACATTCGGTTTGATAGTGATAAACATTCAGTCTCAAGTCTAGAGGTTGATCTTTGCTCAAACGTCAAGAAAATCGTATTTACGATGCCATTCAAGATGCTGATCACAACAATGAGAAAAGGGTGAAGAATTAGTTATCCACTTTTGCGTCTGATTTAAAAGGCTTGAAGGCGGTAGCGAAGGATCACCATATCTTATTTGTTCAAGTTGTTAAGAAAGTTAGAGAGGATGTAAATTCCAAACTTCAAGAACTCAGGGAAGATATGAGCAAGGAAATTGCAGTAGCACAACAAGACAATACTTCACTGAATTAGAAAGTTGACATTCTTGTTGATGCAGTTACCAAATTTGTTAAGCTGTATGAAGCTCTTGGTCCAAATGCTGAGCAGATGTCTATGGACGAGGTTAACAGTTTTTCGCAAATCAAAAAATTGTTAAGTGAATTGAAAGAGTTGGTTTCGAAGTCTGGTTTCTCTTCTTTGATAACTCCTGAGTTCTTAACTTAGAAGTTTAGTTTGTTTGAAACAACTCTACAAAAGGAGTTAACCCCATTTTCACAACTCATTAGTGTTTTACCAACGAATGTCCCACCTGTTGTCACAGGGGTGCAAGGGGGAGAGAGAAGGTCTATTGGTAAAGGATAAGGTGCTCCTGGGAAGACTGGTGAAGAATTTAAGGTGGTTAGTAAGGTTTTTTCAATGTATGCTCCTACTCCAAAACCAACATTTTCGAAGGTTGATCTAGTGATTGCAACTGTCACAACTACAAGGCCGATTGCGAAAGGTATTGTAACTGGATCAACAGGTGTAGAAAGTTCTTCGAAACCAATGAAAACTACAATGAATATGGATAGAATGAAAGGGGTTGTTGTGGAGAAATGGAAATAAGAAAGGAAAGCCGACATTGAAGCTGAGATGGAAAAGCAAAGACAAATTCAAAGTTTGTTGAGGCTTCGACAAAATGATCCTCCTAATTTGAACAAATGAAATATGAGGAAATTGTATAGCTATGAGAATATCGAAGCAAAGGTTGCTTAGAACGAAATGCATGATTTTGAAAAGAAGGAAACAAATTATGATACAGAGAACACTGACATTAATCAACTATATTTTCCAATCAACGAAATGATGTTTCTCATAGCTCAGTACAAGATTATCAAAAAATTCAAGGACAAAGATGATTTTATCCATATGAAGCTGATATTTCATGCAGTTTTGGGAAAAGAATAGGATGAGGTATGACCATTAGTGAAGATTGTTCAGCTGATCAACATAACGAAGGATGAAATGTTCGAGAATATGCTACAAATTTTTCGATACCATGTTGTAAGGGCGAACAAAGCTACTATCGACTTCACAATTGATGATTTCCCTCTGATAAACATGAATGATCTGATTCAAGTTGCAACTATTCTTAAAGATATAGATGCTTCGAAACTCCAAGGAACAAGCAAAGAAGTGATACGTTTGGGATTGGGTCATATCAAGATTTTCATAGACAATTATTATGATTGTCTAGCATTAACAGATGTTGAGTTAGCATTATCTATGGGAAAAGAACTCTCAGTTCCTCAATCAGTGTTGAAGAGTCAAGCTGATTTGAATACACATGTTGATGGAGAGATATGTTTGAAGCCATTCGAGATTGTTTTTATAGGGAAGAGCAAGAAGGGAAATCAAACTAAGTTTTTATTTAGTGTGAGTGATGTTGAAAAATATACATATGCTCATTACATAAACTTGATTGTGCGAATGAATATCTGTAAGAAGAACAATGAAGGAGATAAGGCTGAATTGAAGAAGGTGATGAAATGGTATGCGGAAATTCGAAGAACATTACATGTGGTTGCTCAAGTTTTGATTAATTGATTTCGACACTGCTTACAAAGGGGGTGATTATAGAGGTTGAAATTAGTTGTAAGGTGTCGAAACTTTGTAATGATCATGATTTTGTGTAATGTTATTTACAAATGCATTGTTTGTTTCGAAACTGTAATGTTAAGTCCTTTGTATTTTTTGTATGCTTTCTAGTTCTCTTATAAATAGGGGATGATACTTAGACTTAGATAAAAACTTTCCCATTTTATTTTGTCTAGTACTCTTTGTATTGGAAAGCATAATAGAGCTGAAACAAGATCATATTTACTCAAGGTGTTCACAATTCATTACAACTCTGACTTTATTTCATTCTCGATTATCAAACCTCTTCAGAGGTGACAAGTCACTCGCAGCGGGATTAGTTGAGCCTTGGCCAAGTATAAGTGATCTGCAGGGATAAGTAGGTATGTGATCCTATTTTATAGTGGGAACCTCGAGTTATTAGAAGTTGAGTAGTCAGTTGAGAGACAATTGGACTGGGTTCGGCAATACTGAATCAGTATGGGCGATCTGTCAGGGGGACAGACCATCTCGAGACTATAGACTTCAGACTGAGTAGATGTGATCATGTTGCAAGGGATTCATTTATGTTCGTGTTTTAGAACCCTGTGAGGGATGATTTAGATTACTCTGGGAAGGCTAGGGTGTGCCTAGGATTGTGGCCATGTTACTTGAGTAGTTTGGCATCTAAGGAATGGTAAGGAATGATTTCGAGGATGAAATCCAATTTAAGTGGGGGAGAGTTGTAACACCCCGATTATTAAATAAATAAAAGAGATAAAATTAATATGAATAGTATCCTTTAAAATCCATAATTATATAGCAAGGAGTTGGTTTCGAGGAGTTAACTGGCATAATTTAGAAGTTGGGGTTTAAAAGTGTAAGTTTCGGGTTGGTTTCGCAAATATTTATGAAGGTAGAGACTACTTGGTAAATTATTGGGACTCAAATTGAACAGATTTTGGAAGCTTAGAGGCTGAATGGTAACATATGGGCTTCATTTGAGAATAATTTGTAAAAGAGGGACTGATTGGTAAATTTTGGACTTAATATGAAGGGATTTTGGATGGCTGGGGTAAAAAGGGTAAATTGTGGATCTATTTTGAATGAAAAAGGAGACGCAGGAACGATTCCTGTCATTATGTCCATAAGTTTCTAGAGGTGTCGGGTATATATTCTAACCCCTAACCCTAACCCTAGCTAGATGTAACTGTTGCCACCTTATGACTCCCATCCTCCCTCCACCACAACAAACCAACCGCCAATGGAAGTCGTCAACACCACCGATAGTCGTCACTGCTAAAGACAAGGACTGAGTGCCTTATACCGCCGCTTCTCTCCACTTCTATCGCTACAACTCATGTCGTCGGAATCACGCAGGACCGTCAATCGCTATTTTGTTGTAGATGAAACCGCAAGCTATAAATTCGATGTACAACCATGGACAGTAGAGGTTCGAGATAGCGAGGTTGTTGTTGCTGTTCAGATGATGGATGACCACTCCCCTACCATGATTTTCTTCTCCCTCTTTGTTTCTGTCTGGTGCTGTGACACTGCTGTGGTTCCGATGATTATCTCATCGACATTTTTCTGTTCGGCTGCTTCATGCCACCGATGGGGTGGCCGAGACTAGTGCGTTTCTACGATGAATATGAGTTTTTGTGTTAATGTGTGTGTTATTTCTGTTGTTTGTGTGTCATGGGTGGCTTTGTTTTTTCGCCGAGAAATAAAGAACAACCACCGCCACCATGTGCCACCATGTGTGTGTGTGTGTTATGTTAGTTAGTGTATGTGTTTTTTTTTGGATTTTTCATTGTAAACTATAATCATTTCGGAATAATGAAAATGAAAACTCAAACTACCACCGTAAGGTGGTGGCTACCGCCTCCTGCCACCACCAGCCACCGTGTTGGGTGGCGGTGTGCTTTTTCTTGCGTGTAGTTGATTTTTGGATGCTTGGACTAGAAACGCTAACCACCACCATGAGGTGGTGGCCGCCGCGGCAAGCCGCCGATTACCACCACTACCCGAGGTGGTAGTGGGTGGTGCCCGACTAGCGAAACCCTAATGGGTCTAATGAACCCTAATGGATCAAAAGACCTAGCTATTGGGCCTATTGGGCTATGATGGGTTTAGAAACTCTAACTAGGGTTTAGAAAACCCTAATTTTAGATATATGGGCCTTGGACTTATCAAGACCCACATTTGGGCCATTGGAATTGGACTATGTATTAAGCCCAATCATACCATATGATTTATCTAACAGAGTGGTGGACTTAATGGATTAAGTCATTAACGGGTTAAGTGAGAAACACTTAACCTGATGGGTTTTGAGCATTCTAACACTCTTATGGTGTACATGCAACCCTAGAAACCTTGGATCTATGTTTTCTCTAATATACATGCAAATATGATTTTTCCAAGGTTCTCATTCTAACTAGCATATCGTGGGGTACTTGTAATATAAAAATTAGTAGAATGACATACGTTTGTGGTTACTTGGATTCCTAAAGACTTTGTGAGCCTAGCACCCCAAATATGATGCCTCAAATGCTTCACAAAACACCACAACACTTGGAATAACTTAAGAGAAGTACACTTTGAGCACAAATTCGGCTAGCCCTCACTCTTTTGTCTCAGTGGCCAATTTTGCTCCATATGAGGTTCCTTATATAGTGTGTCACATGTAGGGTTACACCATGTAAACCCTAATGTGCATGACTTTTCATTTCCCCCATGATCCATGGGTTTATAACCTCCATGGAGCACCCAATGGGTCCTAGTCAAATCTAGTGAATCATGGACCTTAAGCCCACTATATAAGAATGAAATATTTACATAATTAATCCTCATATATTTAATTAGTCTCTTTTGATCACAAAATTAATTCCAAATTAATTCTTGATCAATACTAATTAAACAATATGATTTCATATTAATATATTAGAATAGATTAACAAATCATAAATGTCCTTATTCTCATTTTGTCTATCCAATTGTTGAGATGCCATGCAACCTAAATGCACCATGCCAAGCCGAGTCAAGTACATACCAAATATAGTTATGGACTAAGACACCTTATCCAACATAACCCTAGTC